TATTCTTGCTTCTCTTAGTTTGGCTAGTGATATTATCCAAAATAGAGCTTAATGGTGGTAAATGATCTATGTAGCCAACCCCAAGTCGTTAGGAAATAACAATGTGTTGTCGATGTTGTTGCCATTGTTCTTGTTGTCTATATTGGTAGGACAAAGGAGGTGAAGATTAGGTCATCGGATATGAAACTTCATAATGTTGAAGGAATGTCGTCGTCTAAGATGGCAGACTCTAGTTTATGTCTACTGATCACAGAATCAGAGAAATAATGGCTCAAATATGTATACCTTCGGTCAGGCCCATCATCATAAACTTCTATATGGGTAGCAATATCCACATCAACCTGAACACAGAAAGCAACGATTAGAAGTTAATTCTTGAAACAACTGGAACTAGAAATCTAAATGATGACGAACCAAGAATCTCACTAATAAGTTACAACTTATGATTAAGATGATGTTATATGTGTACTGCAAAGCATATATGCAGCTAGAATACAAAAGAGCCATTCTGTCTCTGAAAGGTGAAATTAGGTGGCTTATGAGTCATTATAAGGGAAGAATCCTGATATCAACATTGAAAGACTTGTTAAAAGCTATCGTACATCTTCTCTGGTCAGAGAGGAGTAATTGAATTGTTTCATTAAAAGGAACAAAGTCGGGAGCAAATTTTCAGGAACATTACAGATTTGACAAGGACATCTGCAGACATAGAAGCATTGGAACATCACACTTCCAAATAATTATATATCTTCTTGTTGTCAGGCTGTTTGCATGTGCGGAGTGACAGATTATTGGTTTGTATGTTTTGTAGGTAATCAGGATTTTTCCTTGGAATGAGTCTTAACTTAGTTTGGAGGGAATTTGGAGTCATCTGAAGATAAGTTTGGTTTCTAAGTATGTGATATAATTAGCCATGTAGCTCATTTTTTGGAAATGAAATCTTACTTATTTCTATATAAGACAAACATGATGCATGCAGCCCGTGCAAGCCGAGCTAAGTTGTAGAAATTACCTTGAAAGGATAAGCCAACCTCACAAGATATATATGTCTAGACACGAACAGTCAATGACGGAAGAGAAAATTGTCTTTTTCTCCCTTAAATTACTCTACAAAAGCAATATCCAAGAAAACAAGGAAGAAATAGGGGCACTGAATCTATGTGAATTTTTTTAGATGTCTCCTCTATTTTCAGAAAAGCTATAGGTTAAAGATGTATTTAAGCATTTTGGTCCTTCAACATGGAATCTATGAGTTCTTTGCATATGTATAATGAGAGAACCTCTTGTGTAGGAGGCTCAACTCCAAACGTTGCTCCCATTGCCAATTGGCTGCTAGACTCCTGGAAAAACCAATATAAACATCAGATTATACGAGGAAATTTGTTTTAATATATTTACATGAACACAAGAAAAGTACAGAAAAAAACACCAATCATTGTACCGGATGATACTCGATCAAATTGTTTATAATTGTTAAGCGTATTGCTTCTAGCAACTCTGGATCTTCAATTTTGCGGCCGGTTGACCTGCACAGCCCCATTTCACTAAACTTAGCAATCCTTGATACATATAAGCAACTGCAAGAACCAAAGCTATGGCTGATGTGTGAAGAACATATCAGTAGTGATACATCAGGTTGCTGTAGAAAACAAACCTATCACAATTTGCAAACAGTAGCAGGAAAGAATCATCCACTAACACTCAGATAACTATCTCAGAAAACAAAATGACAACAGTTTATAAGAGAGCTTACATGCTAGTTATTGCAAATTTGTTGTGCTTCCCGGAAGAATCCAAGTAAACATTAGCTTTGACAACATTTAGGCCTAGATTCTTAAGGGACTTCATCTTCCCAATGGAAAAACAAACTGTCAGCTTTTAGTGAAATAAACATGAAGAAGAACAATGCTGCCCTTCCAATGCCTGCAATCTATTTAAGGTCAACAACATACAGTGTCAAGAAGAGTCCCGAGGCGGTCGCCAAAGGTTATCTCCACGATAGTTGCATCTGGGTCTGAGTCCTGATCTATGATAACTTTGGGAGTAGGAATTGTGTCAGTCTCATTAGAACTCCCATCCTGTAAACCCAAAAATTCTGAATGATACATAAACGATCCAAGTACTGAACAATAGTAAATTAAGATTTCTTACCTCAACAGTTGTCGGAGATGCTGCTCTAGGAACAGTTATAGCAGCATCGGAATATAATCTAGAAACCCAAGGAATAGATCAGCTCCATGCAATCATAACTTGAGAAACATGAATGAATCAATGAAATGCATCGTTCAAGTGAACAAATCTGGAACAATCTTAGCAGTAAGTGTCAAAGTTCATCACATTTGACCGTTAGAGCCAATAGTAGGCACTTACAGATTCAACTTTTTGAAACGGAGTCCAATTCCAAAGATCATATAACTCAAAAAGGCATACAATAAACGCAACAATCAAAGAGTGAAGATCAAACATTCATCCAGAACAATAGACCTCAATGACCTGCAAAAGATGCAGTTTTGTTGAACAATGAAACCAAGAACTGCCACAGTCACCACAACATTGGCATGAATCGTGGTACAAAAACCTAACTTTCAAGCCTAAAGAATCACAGGAAGAAAGATACTTGCTACCGAACCAATCAATTTGCAGAAACCGAGGCAGTAACCAAGGCAAAACCTGATCTTCGAGGCGATTGGAGCCGCGAAAGGGGGGCAGCGGAGGGAACAGCATCGAAGCCCCGGCAAGCAGTTCTCCCCTGCCCTCGCGGTGGGCCTCAGACAGAGGCTCCCGGAAGCCATGGCGACGGCCATTCCTCCTCTTTCTTCACCAAGACACAAACTTTGTTTCTCTACTCCTCTTTGTTTAGGATTCCTGTCTATGTTAGAGGGAAGCAAAGGAGGAGGAGGTAAGGGCGGTGGCTATCTCCCAAGCACCATTATCCACCCATCCAAATCTCACCCCCACCTGTCCCTGTCTACCTCTCCTCCCTAAAATCATCTCCATTTCCATTTTTCACATTAAAAAGGAAAAGGGAGAGGATGCAGAGAAGCCACCCACCACCATCTACAGATTCTTCTTCTTGTGAGTGTGGATAATGGTGAGTTGATGGTGTCACAAAGAAATAACTAAACTACTACATTATATATATATATATATATATATATATATATATATATATATATGATTGTTCGAAAAAATATATCTTTTTTGATTTTTTTTTTCAGATGATATCTCTTTTCAAAATTTTTAAACCATCATCTTCTATTTTAAAAATCTTAAAAATATCTCTCAAAAGCTGTTCATAGTGTTTTCCAATGCAAATCCAAAAAATTTATTTTGCCAATTATTTGCAATATTTTGTGAATTATTTTTTATCCATAAAAATACTATATTCTTTTAAAAAAATATTGCATAATATTTTTTATTTCAAAACACTGTGATATCAAAAACATTGTATAGTTTTTAAAATAAAATATTATACAATATTTTATGAATAAAAATCAACTCATAAAACACTATAAATATTTAGTGGAAAAAATATATATTTGGACAAAAAAATATGATAACTTTTTAAGGGGTATTTTTAGAACATTAAAAATTGAGGGTGATGATTTGAAAATCTTGAAATAGGTATCACATAATGTTTATTTGTGTAGTTTTATTTGTTTAATCTTCTACTAAATGCTTTCAAAATATCAGAATTTACAAGGGAAATAAAATCATAAAAGATATACATACCTCTTAATATTTTTCTTAACAAAAAACATTAGACATTAAAGCATAATTAGCAACCAAGATTTTAATCTCCAATTCACTTTGCACTTCTGAAATTTGTTTCTTTAGTCAGAAAAAAATATATATATGTATGATATTGTTTAGCTTCATGGGGTGCAGCCTGTCAAAAGATCATCAGGAGAAATAATTTGGAAGAAATGCTTATAGAAATCAGATCCACTTCCCAGCATTCTTCATCACTGATGGATTGCTTTGATTGTCACATGATGAAGTGGGAGAAGATAGGATTGCTGAGTCATGAATACCACATTCCAGCAAGAAGTAGGCCATGCTGATGCATTATTTTAGGTAGAAGAGAAGACAACCCATTAGATTGTGAGCAAGCAGAGATATCCCTTCCACATGGAATATTCTTTCTTGTTTATCTGCACTACTACACTGCCAACTCTGGCACTCCCAATACATCCAAGGGAACATGGAGAACTAATTCTAGTTGGTAATAGTTGATATGATCTTATGCATCAAAACTTGTTTGGGATCATTATCATCATCCATCCTCATCATTCTCAAAATCATGTATTTCCAGACTCCTGAAATTTTCTTCTGAAATCTAATGGAAGGGAAACAAACACATCTTAGATAAAGGAGTGACAATGAGTGTCAGCATTGCAGTTTTGACAATCATTTGTTGATGTTATTTAGTTCTTTGGATGAGATTAGATTTATAGGGAGATGCATATTTCACCTGATGAGCCAAAGGATGCTTGCTCACTGCAAGAGTAAATGAAGCTGCTATCTCCATGTGAAGATCTATGAAGAGAAGAAGCACTATAGAAAATGTTCTCTACTCTCTCTTGTGTTGGTGAGGACCACTCTTTCAATATGTATATGTCATTTTCCTTCCATAAAATTATTTTTTTGATGGAAATATGCACATGTTTTAGCCTATGAATTGTGACTTGCTAAAATCTGGTTATTTAGAGCTTTTATTTAGTACTACATTTTTAAGGTTATGATCTCCTTTCCTCCCTACAATGTGTGGCAAATCAAGTCTTCCAATCTTAGACTCACTTATTGTTCTAAATGATCACCTAGAAGGTATCATATGGTCCAACTTTGGTGCATTGTAAGACTAAAAATGGTCCCAAATTTTTGATAAATATGAGAGTGTTTTCATTCATCAACATCACCAAAAAGCTTCCTTAAATGCAAGTAAATTACTTCTTTGTGCTTCCCTCTTCCTTATAATTCAATGCCATTCTAATTCAATATTTCAAGAAAAGGGTATTTTCGGAATTTAAGTATGGCAGGGCCTCTTCCCGTAGTGCCCCCCGTGGGTCTCTCTTCCAATAATGCCCCTCCGCGTTTCAGGAAACAAAAGTTCACGTGTCCTGCACGTGCTCAGCGAAGCGCAACGGCACGGTGACGGCGGAGGCGCTCTCCAGCCCCGTGCAGCTCAGCGAGCGCAGCAGCCTCCACGTCGCCCGGCCCACGTCGCCGCTCGGCCCTCGCCCCGGCTCCGCCTCCGCCGCCGCGCTCTGCCGGCGCTGCCGGCTCCGGATGTCGCTCATGTCCATCGTCGCCGGCACCCGCACCGACCCGAGCACGCAGAGGTACCACCTCGGTCGCTGCTGCCTCGCCGCCGGCGGGGGGACCATCTCGTGGCAGTCCGACATGCTCCTCAGCCTCCGGTACTCGGCCTTCACACGGCCGCCCCAGAACCTGCGGCGCCGGCGGGAGCACTCGGAAGCGGCGTAGGTCTCCTGCCAACAAAGGTCGCCAAGGTTTTCAGCTCGTTTGGGGGGAGGAGCGCCGAAAGGGAGGATCTTTCCGCCGAGGAAGACGTCCGCGGCGGCGCACATGGCTGGAGGTGAGGGGAAGGAGAAGAACTCGAAGTGGTCGGCGTCGGGCTCGGCGGCTGAATCTGGGCCGTCGGATTTGGAGGAGATGGCCATGCGGGGAGTAACGGGGGAATCTTGACCGTCGGATTCGTGGGTAAATGGTGAAGGTGGTCAGCAGCGTTCTCGTGATGGAAGGCGACGGGGGTGGTGGTTTTATACACACACGCAGTGAAGGTGTACACATGTTTGACTTTGACTTCATGTCGGGTTCGAGTCAGGCCAAGACTTCCCCAAATCGACTCGAGTTGGGTTCGAGCCAAATTGCCGGATCTGCAGCCCAAGTGTGTCTCTGTCTCTCCTCAATCGATCTATGTAGGTACTGCCAAAACAGTGGAACCGAGTCCTTGTCACATGATACCTATCCCTCTCCTCTTTTCTCCTACTCCCTTCTTTATGCTTGGCTGGGCATCATAGTCGGGTTCTGGAAGACAACCAAGTCCACGACTGCTGCATTGCCCATCAATTCATGCCCTCTTCTCACTCTTCCATCGGGACACTCCACTAGCAATCAGTAGAGAGAGAGAGAGAGAGAAAGAGAGAGTCTAGGAATTGCTTGTGGACCGTAGCTTGGAGAGCCAGCCACCGCTGTCCTCTTCTATCCTCGCTTCTTTCTCCGGGAATGTTTTGCCGTGACTAGTGTTGAGCAAGCACACTTGGCATTGCCGAGTCTCGTGCAAGCAGCAGAGGATGGGGGTAGACAACCGCTTGGTAGCCATTCATTTTTGAGCTTCTTCCTTCATGGCTGTCAGCATTCAGAAAGCTGAGTTCTTTCAGCTCATTAGCTTCGACACTCAGCATGGTCAAGATGGAATTGTTATGTTCAAGATGAACTTTGAGGGGGAGGAGGAACAGAGTCGATTGATGAATAGGCCATGTATGTGCAGCAAAGGAAAGCAAGCAGGTGCGTGCCATTGACATCATGGAGTTGCAGGTTGATGGAATGATTGGTCTTGCCATGTACCTCGGAGAATGTATGATGGTCATCATGGAACATCATGAGGACACACACACACACACACAACTCTTTGGCTTGGCAGAGGCGAGTGCGGCTCAAGCCTCCTGCAATTTCAAACACTGAATCATTCTCCCGAGAAGATGATGAGCCAGGAATCGGAAGATGGGCACAATGACATCAAGACATGAGGGGGAGCAATTCTTTTCATCATCACCTGCCATGATGCATATGTGCAAGAGTAGGGTAGGAACAGGATGTGAGAGCTTAGGAGAGTGATGTGCTGTAGGTGTTGTTTTGTCTCCCTGTCCAAGGAAACCTTCCATATTTTTAGCTACGGAATGCCATGAAGGAAGAAGAGGAAGAAGAAAAGGTGTGAGGTTGGTTAAATGGGTGTTATATATAAAAGCTACAATAAATTTTCTCCTTCACATAATGGATAGTGTTGAGTTCTTTCCTCCTGAACATAGATCAGAAATATGAAATAGATTGAACTTGATAGTTCAATGTGTTCTCCCATGGCTTCAAATACCTACCTTCCTAATAATCTAAATGGACAGTCTATCATAATTAAGAACTCCAAAAGATCATTATCTGCATAAATAAACCTACAACTATGACTCCTACCACAAATGATCAACTCTAAGACACCTACAAATACAAAGGTTTATTGACCATACTTGTATCTACATCCAGAGCACTGGAAATCTGTAAATGTAAGTTGAGATCTTGTCATTTTGTTTGCATGAATTGATTCTGAAAACAACTGATGCTTCATCCAGCGAGAGGCAAACAAGAAGATGATGTTGTAAGATGTCCTCTTTATGATGTGGAAGATGGTAACATTTACAAGAGCAGTCATAGCACCAACAATGGACCAACATGGACAGATTAGCCACCAAGCTCTTTCAGCACCATCTGTTGTGAAAACCACTCATAATATCGACAGATCTCTGAGAGCTAAAAGGCATAAATTTCTTGGCATAGTGGAATACCTAAGCATTGGCTCATTTAAGAGATGAACTGCCAACAATAGGACTACATGATCATAACCAAAACCCACAAATAAGCAAATTGTAAGGGTAGATTTATCCAACATATACATATATATATTTCATATATAAACTCCCATGACTAGTTTACTTTGAGAATATAAAAGCATCTGTATCTCATCAGTAAAGGAAACCCTCTGCCAACACATACTCATTGTAGATTAAATCCATCATGAATCTTCATATTCAGTAGAAAAATATTAACATGAAGTTGCTTGCTTGGTAGAAGATTTGCAATCTTGACATCTCATAGCAAATTCTTTTTGACATCACCATTACCTTAAGCCTATGTAAATTAAAAAAAGTTTGAACAATTTACATTCTCATAAGGATCAAAATTCTACCATAAGATAGAAAATCAAAATGAAGGATCATCAACAGAATTGTCCCAACAACAGAATTGCCAGCAGTAGAACACAGAGTTCAGAACTGATGTGAAAGAGTGACATCTGAAATAAACTAGCAACAGTATTTGATGGACATATTTTGCTGCTGTTGTAAAAGTCATTGTAGAAGAGATATAGGAATGCATATATGGATGAACAAGAGATCTTGTAAAGTCATTGTAGAAGAGTTAGATGAACAAGAGATTAAGGAATGCATATATGGATAGGTTAAGTTAAACCATACAACTATTTTTTTTTTTTCAATCACACAACTCTTTATTTAATTAAATTTAGTTGTATAATCACATATTACAAGTGAAAAGAAAATTATTTTCCAGTGTTGCAAAAATTATACCTCTATATCATATTCAATCTGTGCAAGATACAATAATGATAATAATATAAACTTCCACCAACCTCAATTGCAAGAAGACCAGCCAAGAGTGGGGTGCCCTTCCACCAACCTTCACAAAGGACAATTGGAAGAAAACAATGACCCAAGGAAAGAAGTGAATTCTATGGTGCATGCCCTCTTGGAATACATGGTCATAGTACAACAAGTATGACTCAATGTATTAATATCTAATATCATAAGACAGCCAAGTCTTATAGCATGTGTAGCTTGGACTTTCAACATGTTTCATTTGCACCTATCCAATCAGTGCTTGTCCTGCCGTCTGATCTCATCTAAACGGCTCCGATTCTCCATTAGAAGCGGGGCCCTCGTGTGGTCGCCGACACATCAAACGGTAGGTGAGACAGCAACCCTCGCCCGCTCAAGTCTATCATGTCGCCATCCGCCGTCGATTCGTGTCGCGCCAGAGAAACCTACGGCCCAGATAATTCCGGCCCGTATCACGCGGACCCGACGGGTCCGGGGTCATTTCATTTCAAGCCTAGCGATATGGTACTGGATGCCTACGTGGCGTTATCTCATTCGCTGACTTCGTCCGTAGTCAACAACTGCTCCGGTCAAACATTTTTCCCTAGTTTACCCTTACATGTTGGAATAATTACGTAGGAGTCCTCCATGATTGCTTAACTGCCTTCACCGGTATAAATTACCCTCCTCTGTTCGCGACACGTCCTTTCTTAGGGAGGAGAGCGGAAGCCAAAGCAGTCTTCTCCACCACAGCCGACGCCACCACCTCTGCGGCCGGAACAGCCACATGGAGTCATACTCGATGCCGGAGGAGACCATATTTCGGTCGAAGCTGCCGGACATCCCGATCGACAACCGCAGACCGCTTCACGCCTACTGCTTCGAGCGGCTGGCCGACTTCGCCGACCGCCCCTGCATCATCGACGGCGCCAGCGGCGCCGTCATGAGCTACGCTGATGTCCACCTCGCCGCCCGACGTGCCGCCTCAGGCCTGCATCGCCTCGGGGTAGGGCGGGGGCAGGTCATCATGATCCTCCTCCGCAACTCCCCCGAGTTCGTCGTCGCCTTCCTCGCTGCCTCCCATCGTGGCGCCGTCGCCACCACCGCCAACCCCTTCTACACCCCGGCCGAGATCCACAAGCAGGCCGCGGCCTCCGGCGCCCGCGTTATCGTCACGGAGTCCTGCTACGTCGATAAAGTGCGCGAATTCGCGCAAGAGCGGGGCGTCACCGTCGTCTGCGTCGACGGGCCGCCCGAGGGCTGCCTCCATTTCTCCGAGCTTCTGGCAGCCGACGAGCGCGACCTTCCCGAGGTCGACATCGACCCCGATGACGTGGTGGCGCTGCCGTACTCGTCGGGGACGACCGGGCTGCCCAAGGGCGTCATGCTGACGCACCGGGGCCTAATCACCAGCGTGGCCCAACAGGTCGACGGCGGCAACCCCAACCTCTACTTCCACGAGGAGGACGTGCTGCTGTGCGTGCTGCCGCTGTTCCATATCTACTCGCTGAACTCAGTGCTGCTGTGCGGGCTGCGGGCGGGCGCCGCCATCCTGATCATGAGGAAGTTCGAGATTTCGGCCATGCTTGAACTGGTGAAGCGGCACCGCGTGACGGTGGCCCCGCTGGTGCCGCCGATCGTGCTGGAGATCGTCAAGAGCCCACTGGTCGACAGCTACGACTTGTCATCGGTGAGGACGGTGTTGTCGGGGGCGGCACCGATGGGGAAGGAGCTGGTAGACAAGTTCATGGCCAGGCTCCCAAACGCTACGCTCGGCCAGGTGATCGAGAGCAACAACATACTGTTCTAAGGACTTCCGACGATGTTAGGAGAAGCCGAAGAACTAAACATGTGATATGTGCTTCCATGTCTCAGGGATACGGGATGACCGAAGCCGGGCCGGTGCTCTCCATGTGCCTCTCCTTCGCCAAGGAGCCGTTCCCGGTGAAGTCGGGGGCGTGCGGCACGGTGGTGAGGAACGCGGAGCTGAAGGTCGTCGACCCCGACACGGGCGCATCGCTCGGCCGCAACCAGCCCGGCGAGATCTGCATCCGAGGAGCTCAAATCATGAAAGGTATAAGAATCGAGCTCTTCCCTTCTGCCACCGACTGTCTCGGTTCCCACTGTTGTTTGCGTAGAGAGGAGACTAAATCTTGCGTAGAACACAATGGTATGGTGTGGCCAGATTTGTATACGAGCAGCACAAGAAACCTCAAGTTAGCTGAGAGATAGGCTGCAGGATTTAGAACAAGGTTTTCCATGGGTGAGCAAATTTAGACTTAAGACTTATCAACAGAAGCTGAGATATAATGAAAGGAAATCATATATAAATCACACTTCATGTTGGATCAGTGAAACTATTGTTCTTGATATCCATTGGGAAGTATATTAACAAGGGAACCTCACATAAGGCTGGGCATATGTTGGTTGACTCTTCCACCTAACTGTCACAGGAAACTTCTTACTATATACACCATATATATAGATAGATAGATAGATATAGAGAGAGAGAGAGAGAGAGAGAATTGAGTTGTATGTTCACAAGTCATAGGAGACTGCACCAACCCTGCCAACCAAAGGGCAGCAGTCAACACATTTCTAACGTTGGAAGTACAAATCAAGTTGATGAAGGAAATATAGGCACTTGCAGTCAGCCAACAAGTTGGTGGATGCAGTAATAAATAGTAAACAAGATGGTGACTGAAGGGTTTTACTGTAACATGGAAATAAAATCGACAATGAGGGAGATGCCAATTGTCCATGGCATTGGACTCTTACTACCATTGGTTAGAGCTTAATTCTTCCTTGATTGATGATGTGTGTACATGTGGAGAATCACTTTTCTGGCAGGCAGAATTAATAGATATGACAATGAGATTGACAGATCTATTTGAGCTACCCGAACCAAACAACCATATCAAAGTCAAAACAAGAGGAGGACTCCATGGTTTGCAGATCTTTCTATGGCATGGTTTGAAGAGAAGCTCTGTGTTTTCTGTGTGGTAACTTATTATAGGCCACAGAATGCATCTCAACGTGACTATCGTGATTGATGCATGTAGGAAATCTACTGACCACATATACCATGCAGAGATGGAATCTGGCACGATGAACTGATGGAGCTTCTGCCACGGTTGTGCAGGATATCTCAATGATGCAAAAGCGACGAGGAACACGATAGACGAGGAAGATTGGCTGCACACCGGAGACGTCGGTTTCGTGGACGATGACGACGAGATCTTCATCGTCGACAGGCTGAAGGAGATCATCAAGTACAAGGGATTCCAGGTGGCCCCAGCTGAGCTCGAAGCATTGCTGATCGCCCACCACGACATTGCCGATGCTGCCGTCGTCCCGTAAGCTTCACCCCCCCCCACCCATACAGCTTTAGCAAAAGCCATTGCTGAGTCCTCACCGTGGCCATGCGAACTCTGTGCAGGATGAAAGATGAAGTGGCTGGGGAAGTCCCCGTTGCGTTCGTCGTCCGGTCGAGTGGGTCTCAGATCACGGAGGACGAGATCAAGCGATACGTGTCGAAACAGGTGTTTATCGTCTTGGTCTACTTGTAGTTAGGGTGGTTGAGGTTCTAATGGATCGTGTTTCTCTCAGGTGGTGTTCTACAAGAGGATCAACAAGGTTTTCTTCACCGAGGCCATTCCCAAGGCTCCGTCCGGGAAAATACTGAGGAAGGATCTGAGAGCAAAGCTGGGAAGCCAGTTTCCATCCGCTTGATCTCCATCCTACCATCCTAATTGTCTCCTCTCTGCTCATCAAACCATGTAATTGACTTGTTTGATTACAGCTTAAAAATCGAGATGGTTTTAAGCTAGCTTATATATCCATGACTTGTCAAAAACACACTTTTATTGGATGATATATGGATTGGAATCTCTCGACTTCATGTGATCTGTGTCGGCCATGGAACAAATCTTTGATGAGTGAAGTTGGGAGACATGAATTCCAATCCTTGGCTACAGCATCGAACAAGTCGACTCATGTACTTCATGGATGACCAACCTAAATTGCTTCCCTATGACTGATCCCACCACAAAACTACTCGGACTTGGGTTGTCCAAGTCTCTTTATCTTTCTCCTTTGTTTCTTTCTCTTAGATAAGGGAAGGGAAGGGAAGAAGATGCACAAAGACAGTGTTTCCATTATTGATTAACAGTCTTACAAAACACTATGTATATGGATTGAAACTTACTATTACGCCTTCGGCCTTTAGGCTGTTAGTACAACATACCACGAAAGAAAGAGTGGGTGGGAGTAGAATCAGAGCTTCCTCACTGGTTGAGAAAAGGAAAGATTATATCAAAATCAAATGATTGATGCAGTTAAATTAAGAACCCTGGTTAGTTTGCCCACCTGTGGAGTAAACCAGAAGAGTGTCCAATTCACAATTTTCCCAATCTCATTCTGTGACTATGGTATCTCCAATATCTAATAATGTGATGGAATCTAGCAACCAACAATACAAATGCGTGTAATAAACTGAAGAAGAAGAGGAATTGCAACACAGCTTGCCACATAGCAGATTCGGTAAAACATTAAATGGTTCAGAAATAATAACCACATATCTCCACCAAGTAGTTATTCCCCAGTGTTAAGTGGGCAAATATCTGGAATTCAAGTGCATATATTATAATCCATCTGACCAAAGTAAGGAACATACAAAAGATACTGAATTCTGAACTCCTTGTTGAGGATGCATAGTGTGTCCCTGAAGAACAAGGTCCCCGCTGAACAACATTAAGTGTGAGCAATTTTACCTGTGGCCAAAACAAATCAATTAAATAGAGAGACACCAAAACTACCCGAACAAATTAAGTTAATAAATTGAGACCACAACTGTCAGGAAAAAGTTTTCCAAATAACCACAAGGATAAAAACAGTGAAAGCAATTAGCACACTTGCAGGTTCTCCAATGAATAAACTGATTTATCACCTTGTATATGATAGCTTTCTTAACAAAGACATTTGATAAAATTTCGAGCCTTTAAACAATGGTGTATCGGAGGATAAGTGGGCCATGGACAACAACAAATTTCCAAGACAAATATCTTAGACAACCTTGACCACATGTAGAGTTAAACACACTAGGAAAACTGCCAATGAGTCGATGATCCTTCTTTACATTTTTGCTGAAACACCAACAGAGGTAGTTTGAATGCAAATAGCAGCAATGCTATCAAATGCTATAGGTGCTATACAGCTGCAAGGAACCTTATAATTTTACTTTCATACAGGATCCTTTTAATGTACTTGATGATTCTTCTAAGATAGCTACATTTTTCACTCTACCTGAAATGATGTGAACTACAATGTTAAATTGATTAATTAAGCTGCAGAGGAGAGTGGGCTACAAGGGAAAGAAGAAGAGGGAGGAGAGAGAACATTAAAGAGGGAGGGCAACAGTGGAGAGCAGCAAAGACAGGAGAGAAGAGAGAGGAAGGATAGGAGAGAAGAAGCAAATGGTTTTTGACTACAAGGTGAGAGGAGAGGACAATAGAGAAAGGAGACGAGAGAGAGTGCAGCGAAGGCGGTGACAGTGGATGTGGCTAGAGAGAGGAAAGGAGAGAAGATGAAGCGAGAGAGTAAAGAGGGAAGAAAGGACAGAAGCTGCAGAAGGTTGATCACGCATGAAGAGGCCAGAGAGAAGACAAGCAGCAGCAGCAACAAAGCACCCAAAGAGAGAGGCGGGAAAGATGAACGAGGAAAGAGAGATGAGCATAAATATATTGGACAGAGAGAGGCATTGTGACCGATGATGTAAGTCGGACAGCAAAAGACGTCAGTTCTATTTTCGGTTTCTTACTTGCTAAAGAAGTCAAGCACCAACTTAAAAGGTGTGCAAGCTAGTTTTAAATAAAACACATTAATAAATTTCATCATGAAATGAACACAATTTTCTTAAAAAGGTCATTTAAGCTAAAACCTTTCTTATTCCCCATCTGTGATTATCAAGACCAAAAAGCAAAAGCCTTAAAAAATCACAATAATCAAAAGCAACAAAAAAGATCAGCCTTCACATCAAAAGGAAAGAGGAACAGTAACTCACATGTAGAGTCCCTCTGGTACCCCTTCCTTCTTCTTAAACATTACCTTCTCCTTGGCCTTCTTAAAGTCTGTATGAGTTACCTAAGCAGAAAGTGATACAGCAACAAGTTACAGCCATGTATAGCTGAAATCACTAAGTACAAAATAAAGCAAACAGGCATTAACTTTAGCCCTCAATCAAATCCAGGATAAAAGTCACCTGGTCCAACAACTAAATAGTTTCAGTCCAGTAGAATCTAATCCAGTGAGTCTCTCTACGAAGCCAAGTTGATGTTTCTATGCTTTTATAACACACTGGCAAATTGCCCACTTAGACATAACCCACTAGATAGTTTCATTATTAATGTCTCCCTACAAAATATGATCTATCAAATTTAATATACACAAACCAAGAAATTGACAAATTTGGTGGATGTTTTTTGGAGCTTCCTTGAATGAAACTAAAAAATTCGAAAACAATCTGAGTCCATATCTTCATTAGAAGTTTCAAGTTTTACACAGAGTTCTATATGAACAAAGTAAGCCAACATGCAACCGAAACCTAAACAGGGGAGGTTTCTGACTCCGCGACCAAAGGTTTTACAAGTAAACCAATCTAAGTTTGCCTTCATTGAGCTGACCTCTTCCAGAGCAGATTTTAACTGTTTAAAGTTCAAACTCTTGTTTGTTTGATGGTTCAGGGCTTTGAATGATTGACTTCTATCACTGTCTCATGGGGAAGAAAGTGGAGAAAAAAGAAGGAAAACAGAAACCAGAAAACCCTGCAACTTCCAGCCAAGGAATCACCACATTTGTTTCTTCTCAACACTAGAAACAAGACTAGAGAAAAAAATGTTCCTACAGATGGAGGGAAGACTGTACCACCATAAAGGCTATGTAACATTTATTTCCCCACAAAATTGAAAACTATCTTCCTTCTTTATCCTGAAGGGAGTAGATTCATGTTCCAGCAGCATGACATGAACCATTCCCTATGCTATCATGTGACAACTGACAATTGGTGGTTGAAATACATTTCCAAAAGCATGTAGGCATCTCAAGGAAAAGGCCTTATGACCAAAATGATTATAACTGACAACATTATTAGAGTAACCAAATGTTCTCTGCTTTGAACATCAAATAAGAAATCTAATCTACAATATTATGGTAAATATGACTTACCTTCATCCTACGCTCTCTTAAAGCAAGCAAGCCAGCTTCAGTACAGATTGCCTTAATATCAGCTCCAGAAAACTCATCCTTTGTCATGACAAATTCTTCCAGGTTGACATCATCTGCCAGTGTCATTCTAGAGGTGTGTATCTAAAGAATTTAATAAGAAACGAAAAACTCAGCAAAAATCAACAAAAGGAGAAAAAGCATGAACTGATACACTGTACTAACTACTAAGCATAATCATATTCTTGAAAATGACAAACCTGAAAAATTCGACGTCTTGTTTTAATATCTGGAAGAGGGAATTCAATCTTCCTATCAATACGACCAGGTCGAAGCAAGGCTGGATCGAGGCTTTCGATTCTGTTGGTTGCAAGAATGACTTTAACATCCCCCCTTGAGTCAAAACCATCTAACTGGTTCAGCAACTCCAACATGGTTCTCTGTATTTCACGCTCACCGCCAGAATGAGCATCATATCTACAATGACCAAACATAATAGTTTGATAAGTTTAATCATCATTTGCATACAATGGAAAAGAAAGGCGGGAATAATCATTCTCATTTATATACCTTTTGGTGCCAACTGCATCTATCTCATCAATGAAGACTATAGAAGGAGAAAGTTCATCCGCCACTCTGAACAGTTCTCTGACAAGTTTTGGGCCATCACCCAAATATTTCTGAATCAACTCACTTCCAACAACACGCAGGAAAGTTGCTGATGTTGAGTTAGCCACAGCCTGATATTAGAAATTTAGAACCATCATAAACAGTCTGGAAAAAAGAATTTCTGGACTAACAGATGTAGATTACAACAGCAGCATTCAAGTTACTATCACATAACAACTAAACTGTAAGAACTTTATAGTTGCAATAGAAATCAAGAAACATAATCTCAATACCAAAATGGTACTAAATGAAATTTTGTAAATGAACAAAGAGACGATGAAAAATATTTAATCTATATGTATCATCAAAAACAATAGAGGTGTATACTGTATATAGATTATATAGATAGACAGAGATATCACCACTTCCCGGCCAAACTGAAATACATAAAACTGGTACAGGGTCACATGCTAAACTGAAATACATAAAAATCAACAAACCTAAAATAAAAGAATGCTCTCACCTTGGCAAGTAAAGTTTTACCAGTTCCTGGCTCCCCATAAAGTATGACTCCCTTGGGAGGTCTAATGCCAATATCTTCATACAGTTCAGGATGTGTCAGAGGTAGTTCCACAGCTTCTTTAATTTCTTGGATTTGTGAATCTAAACCGCCAATATCAGCATAGGATTCCAAAGGAGCTTTTTCAACTTTCATGACAGAAACCATAGGATCAACTTCATCCTGAAGAAGCCCAACAACTGACAGAACCTGCAAAAGACATTTTAGTTCCATCACCTTTATATCCAACCAAAAACAACATATCCTGATATCAAAATATCCAGAAATTAAGAAGTATGTGAACATAAGCCTCCGAGTAAAGCATATCATCAAATCTGATGCAAAGTGAAAATGCAAAAAGGTAAGGATTAGAAATAACATAGTAAACTAAAAAGCACAAAGCTAAAATAATCAGTGTCTATTAGCTAAATTAGACGATTCAGGATGGCCAATACATAATAATACAACAAAACCTTCCAGACTGAAAATAATATAACATTGACCAAGACGTAGTTTGTCTGGTTTCTCCAACCAGTCATAAACAAGTCAAAAATGAAAGTTTGACTCAGCCTAAAACCTGAAAACAGTGTAATAGTTTAAGTTAGACTACAAGTTATGAGCAACAAATCATGAGAAAAGAAAAGTCTCCCAAACAGCTACAAGTAAATTTTTCAACAAACTGTATTACAACCTCTGAAGCTCTCCAAGTAAATCCTACTCTTTTCATTTCCTCTATCCTCTTTTCATTGTCTTTTCCCTTCTTTCTAGCCAAATAGATTTCTTTTGCTAATATATCTGGAGCACTGCTAGTGATCATGTTACCTAAGGGTGTAAAACCTTCAAAGCATAAAACTCATGATGATATATGTCATGTTAACCTCATAAGTTTCTGATGCAGGTTACAGTCAAGAGTATTTGTGGTGATCTATGTCAAATTATCTTCATTGGCTTGTGATACAATAGTCCAAACATGATCTTCCAATCTTCAGCTAAACAAGTTCATCATACCTAAATACCCGAGAACTGTGCAAAGACGTTGCACAGTTGCAACTTAATTCAAACAATACGACAGAAAATAAGGTATACAAAGAGTTCGACACCCCAAATCCCATCCCAAACACCGGAAATTACCGCAAATCCTAAACCATCCGTCGCAACCCCAAAACAGCAATCAGGTGAAAAGAAAACACAAAAACTGACCTTGTTGTGCATAAGGATGGCACATCCCGGCTCCAGTTGATCCTTATCGACAAAGGACAGGATGCTGACGTAGTATTCCGGCCCAACCGACGACGAAACGATGGCGTGGTTCTCGTCGATGAGCTCCTCGAGGTTCCCGACACTCATGGGCGACCCCCGGAGGTCGTCGACCTTGGATCGGTCCTCCTCGTTCTTCTCCTCCTGGGGGCGGAGGCGCTCCTGGTTGGCGACGAACTCCTCCTCCATGAGGAGGTAGTCCTTGACGCGCTCGAGCTTGAGTAGCCGTAGGCGGCACTTAGAAAGCGGGGTGACGGCCGGGAGACGGGCGGCGGCCTCGGGCCCCTTCTGCCTGCGCTGCTTCCTTCCCACGCGGGACGGCGGCGCCGCCGGCTCGAACTTCTTGTCCTTCTTGTCGCCGTCCCGCTTCCGATCACCGGGGAGGCCCTGCTTGCCCATGCCGCCGGGGGTTCCCTGGCCCATCGATCCTAGGGTTTCGAGGATACCGAGAGGGTTCGAGATCGAGGATGAGGAGAGAAAGAAGGTGGTGCCAATTTGGGGGCCGATCTGAGGCATTATGTACTTCCCTTCAAAAGACACGCATAGATGACGTGTAAGGATCGGAGCCGTTCGATTATTTTTCGTTTCTTTTCTTTTCTTTTTTATTGAACCCGAGTGAATCTCACCGTTTAAATCGAATTGATGTAAAAGAATATAAGGTAATTTTCCTATAAAACATTTACCTTTTGGATTTTTTTATCATCTATATCTTCATTTTAATTTTCCTGCCTCCAAATAAAAATTACTTAAAATCGTTCCTAAAATTTTTTTTTTGTATGTTATAGTATTTTGTCCATCATAATAAAAACATGGTAAAATCTTATTTTTAAAAATATTATAAATAAGTATATCTCATATTATGATTCAAATAGGTATTTATAATAGTTTAATAATAACATAATCCAAATAGAAATAAAAAAAATTAGTTTGTTATAATATTTTGACCATCTCAATAAAAACACTATATGATCCACTCAAAAATATTATATATGACACAAGTGGACTTCTATATCAATAATGACAATGAAAGAAACAAAATTATGATGGTACTGTTTTTTTTCAATGGCATTTGAAGTATTTTTAATTTTTCAATAGAATATTATAAATACTGTTAAAAATTGCTGTAAACGAATCAAATGATAAAACAAATAACAGCTTAAAATTGGTAAAATATGAGCAAAGAAAATTGATAGAAAAATTTTTGAAATATATTTTGGATATTTTTTCAAATTAAGGTTACTGTTTGGAACAAAATAAAATGGGGGTATCTTAAGAAAAATACCTAAAATATGAGTTTTTTCTAAAAAAACCCAAAAAAAATATGATCGATATTTTTAATAAAAATAAAATTCATATATATGACATGATTTTTTTTCTAGTATTTTCACACTACCAACTAAATTTGAGATCAATTTTGATTAAAAATTAGATATTTAAATAGTTAGTAAGCATTACAGCTCCCTAGTCATGGTATCTACATTGAGATGGGTTCAAATGAGAGAAACATGAGCTTGTCTAATGCTAAAGGGAGAACACATTACAATAACATTGTTCTTGCAATAGACTAACAACCCTCATAACATACATTAACAGTGTAATATAATGTAAGCAGATGAGAGAGCCATGTCCACATCACCTTTTCATATTCAACGAAGAGATACCAAATTAGAACATAAAATTTGCTATAAGAAATAAAATTGGGACAATCATAAGAATCAATCGATCTTTTTCCAATATATATATATAGAGAATTCTGAACTCCATGTTGAGGATGCATAGTGTCCCAGAAGAACAACGTCCCCGCTGAACATTAAGTGTGAGCAATTTTACCTGTGGCCAAAACAAATCAGTTAAATAGAGTGACACCAAAACTACCCGAACAAATTAAAGTCAATAAGTTGAGACCACAACTGTAGTGAAAAAGATTTCCAAATAACCACAAGGATAAGAACAGTGAAAGCAATTAGCAAACTCACGAATAAACTGGAGACATTTAATAACTTTCTTAACAATGGTATTCGGAGGATAAGTGGGCCATGGACTAACAAATTCCCAAGACATATCTCAGACAACCTTGACCACATGTAGTGTTAAACATACTAGGAAAACTGCCAGTGAGTTGATGATCCTTCTTTACATTTCTGCTGAAACACCAACAGAGGTAGTTTGAATGCAAATAGCAGCAATGCTATCGAAAGCACTAGGTGCTATACAGCAGCAAGGTCCCTTATAATTTTACTTTCATTCGGGATCGTTTTAATCTTCTAAGATTTCTACATTTTTCACTCTGCCTGAAATGATGTGAACTGCAACATTAAATTGATTAATTAAGCTGCAGATGAGAGTTGACGTCAAAGGAAAGAAGAAGAGGGAGCACAGATAACTATAAAGACAGAGTGCGACGGTGGAAGCAAACAAAGGCAAGAGAAAAGAGAGAGGAAGGATAGGAGAGAAGCAGCAAATGGTTTATGACTACAAGGTGAGACAAGAGAGAGGGCAGCGAAGGCAGTGACAGTGGATGTGGCTAGAGAGAGGAAAGGAGAGAAGATGAAGGGAGAGAGACTAAAGAGGGAAGAAAGGACAGCAGCTGCGGGGGATTTATCATGCATGAAGAGGCAAGAGAGAAGACAAGCAGCAACAAAGCACCCATAGAGAGTGGAGAGAAAGAAGACCAAGGGAAGAGAGATGAGGATAAATATATTAGACAGAGAGAGGAGTTGTGACCGATGATGAAAGTCAAACAGCAAAACATGTCATTTCTATTTTTGATTTCTTACTAGAGAAGTCAAGCACCAACTTAAAGGTTTGAAGCTAGTTTTAAATAAAACATGTTAATAAATTTCATCATGAAATGAACACAATTTTCTTAAAAAGGTCATTTAAGCTAAAACATTTCTTACTCTTCATCTGTGATTATCAAGACCAAAAAACAAAAGCCTTAAAAAAATCACAATAATCAAAAGCAACAAAAAAGATCAGCCTTCACATCAAAAGGAAAGAGGAACAGTAACTCACATGTAGAGTCCCTCTGGTACCCCTTCCTTCTTCTTAAACATTACCTTCTCCTTGGCCTTCTTAAAGTCTGCATGAGTTACCTAAGCAAAAAGTGATGCAGCAACAAGTTACAGCCATGTATAGCTGAAATCACTAAGTACAAAATAAAGCAAACAGGCATTAGCTTTAGCCCTCAATCAAATGCAGGATAAAAGTCAGGTAGTCCAACACTAAAGAGTTGCAGTCCAGTAGAATCTAATCCCGTGAGTCTCTCTAAGAAGCCTAGTTGATGTTTTTATGCTTTTATAACACATTGGCGACTTACCCTCTGAGACAACCACCGGATAGTTTCATTGTTAATATTTCCCTACTAAATCTGATCTGTCAAATTTAATATATAGTTATATACAAACCAAGAAATTAACGAATTTGGCGGATGTTTTTTCGAGCTTCCTTGAATGAAACTAAAAAAAACGAAAATAATCTGAGTCCATATCAACACAAAACGTTTCAAATTTTTCATACAGTTCAACATGAACAAAGTGAGCTAACATGCAACTGAGACCTAAACAGGGGAGGTTTCTGATTCTGTCAACGAACGGTTTTACCAGTAAACCAATCTAAGTTTGCCTACAATGAGCAGACCTCTTCCAGACCAGATTTGAACTGTTTAGAGTTCAAACTCTTGCCTGTTTGATGGTTTGGGGCTTTGAATGATTGGTTTCTATCACAATCTCAATTCTCAACGCTAGGGAAGAAAGTGGAGACAAAAGAAGGAAAACAGAAACCAGAACACCCTGCCACTTCCAGCCAAGGAATCACCACATTTGTTTCTTCTCAACACTAGAAAAAAGACTAGAGAAAAAAAGTCCCTACAGATGGAGGGGAGACTGTACCACCATAAAGCTATGTAACATTTCTTTCCCCACAAAATTGAAAACTATCTTCCTTTTTTATCCTGAAGGGAGAAGATTCCTGTTCCAGCAGCATGACATGAACCATTCCCTACACTATCATGTGAGACTATTGGAGGTTGAAATACATTCCAAAAGCATGTAGGCATCTCAAGGAAAAGAACTTATGACCAAAATGATTACAACTGACGACATTATTAAAGAAACCAAATGTTCTCTGCTTTGACCATCAGATAAGAATACTAATCTACAATATTATGGCAAATATGACTTACCTTCATCCTACGCTCTCTTAAAGCAAGCAAGCCAGCTTCAGTACAGATTGCCTTAATATCAGCTCCAGAAAACTCATCCTTTGTCATGACAAATTCTTCCAGGTTGACATCATCTGCCAGTGTCATTCTAGAGGTGTGTATCTAAAGAATTTAATAAGAAAAGAAAAACTCAGCAAAACTCAACAAAAGGAGAAAAAGAATGAACTGATACATTGTACTAACTACTAAGCATAATCATATTCTTGAAAGTGACAAACCTGAAAAATTCGGCGCCTTGTTTTAATATCTGGAAGAGGGAATTCAATCTTCCTATCAATACGACCAGGTCGAAGCAAGGCTGGATCGAGGCTTTCAATTCTGTTGGTTGCAAGAATGACTTTAACATCCCCCCTTGAGTCAAAACCATCTAACTGGTTCAGCAACTCCAACATGGTTCTCTGTATTTCACGCTCACCGCCAGAATGAGCATCATATCTACAATGACCAGACAAAATTGATAAGTTTAATCACCATTTGCATACAACGGAAAAGAAAGGCAGGAATAATCATTCTCATTTATATACCTTTTGGTTCCAACTGCATCTATCTCATCAATGAAGACTATAGAAGGAGAAAGTTCATCCGCCACTCTGAATAGTTCTCGGACAAGTTTTGGGCCATCACCCAAATATTTCTGAATCAACTCACTTCCAACAACACGCAGGAAAGTTGCTGATGTTGAGTTAGCCACAGCCTGATATTAGAAATTTAGAACCATCATAAACAGTCTGGAAAAAAGAACTTTAAGAATTTCTGCACTAACAGATCTAGATAACAACAGCAGCATTCAAGTTACCATCACATAACAACTAAACTGTAAGAACTTTATAGTTGCAATAGACATCAATAATGATAATCTCAATACCAAAGTGGGACTAAATGAAATTTTGTAAATAAACAAAGAGGATGTTGAAAATTATTTAATCTATATGTATCATCGAAAACAATAGAGGTGTATATTGTATATAGATAGGCAGAGATATCACCAGTTCCCCGCCAAACTAAAATTCATAAAACTCATAGAGGATCACATGCTAAACTGAAATACATAAAATTCAACAAACCAAAAATAAAAGAATGATCTCACCTTGGCAAGTAAAGTTTTACCAGTTCCTGGCTCCCCATAAAGTATGACTCCCTTGGGAGGTCTGATGCCAATATCTTCATACAGTTCAGGATGTGTCAGAGGAAGTTCCACAGCTTCTTTAATTTCTTGGATTTGTGAATCTAAACCGCCAATATCAGCATAAGATTCCAAAGG